CATTTTATTGTTACTTGGTTTATGTAAAATGCAATTTAAACTATTCCTACTATTCTTTTCCGGCTCCCATCCTGTTTTTGATTAGGGCCTAATAAACTTAGAGCCACCCATTATAATAGGCATTTAGCATTGAGAAGGATTTAAACATAATGAGCAGTCTAAGGTATATAATGATAGCTTTCTTCTAACACCTTATACTATTAGTCTTGGAATATGCAACAGCAGTGTGTTAATGAGTATCCATTTCATTAGCAATCCTATGTTAACATTGCTGTGCTGGTCTCTTTCGACATCCTCAACAAAAAACAAAACTAAACATATAGCACAATGTGGGGTAACAGATTGTCCACAAAATGTGTTTATGTGAGTTAGACAGGAGAACACAGGTAATGGAAACCAGGAACCTTCTGGCTGCAATGGCTACGACACACTGACTAAGCAAATTGCTTGGATGGCACTGTAACAATTTGCACTTGGTATACATAGCCACTGCAAGTTGGCCTTGAACCAGTAGGTGGCACTGCACAATACCCATAACCAGTATACTAATTGTACAGTGGGCTTCAAGAATATAAACTGCTAAGGATTCTGTATGAAAAGCTGCTGGTAGTGCTATAGTGTTGAAGGCAAAGAATTGTTATTCATATTATTCCTGTCACAGTACTGTCCCAATGACCTTCCTTTGTGGTGATCCGAGTTATAGCAATGTCTTCCAGGAAATGCCTTCTCGTGCGTATGGTTCTTGTGGAATATTCGCATAAACTCAGATTGCACTTGTCACTACTCTGCACTCCGCACTGTCCACAACACATCCATCTATTCAGCTCACACCAATGCCAGGACAGCCATCATACCGCAGCTGCTAAAAATAATTACCAGGATTTGCTAATAACTTCCCAACTTAATGAGGTCATGTCTAGCGACGATTATGGGGCAGAGAGAGGCCAGTGTTTTAATTTATAGACCTGCAATCCTTCTGGAAATGGACATGTTGTACTATATAATGATGGTGAGCCTCCCTACATCAAATAGAGTGATACTGTATACATTATACCATTACTCTACACAATATTGTTTGCTAGTAGTTTATTTTACTGCAGATTGTGTTGCTTTCACCTACATCCTATGGCAGTTGGGTTTTTTATTACATTTTGGAAAACACAATCAATATAACAAACCGTAACCTACAGCTGTGTATTTATATAGTCACCTGTTGTATTTTTAGAGAATTCACGGTTATAAGTAACAACACAGGTAAACGTAAAGAAATGAGAATAAAATTGTTCATTACTTACCATATTTTTATTTTCCTGACCTTTTCTTTTTTTGGTTTTGCTCCTCCCTTTAGCTGGAAATGACTGCACCTTGACCATAAAATTATAATATTTTATTAAATCTAGGCTACATAATGAATCATCCCTGCAGATGTTCTCTGTCTGATTGCAGGCTAAACCACAAAAAAACTTATTGCCTGTAAGGGGATGTTCAATGTATAGTCCTACGAGTCCTGAATGTACATGACAATGGAGCAGCATGGCATATGGACTTGAAGGCATATTTTATATGGATTGCTATCATGACAGCCCATGGAGTAGAAATATCTGTAGTATAAGGACCCATTACCAACATAGGAGACTGTAGGCTTCGATCAGATGCAGACTTTTATATGGTGCCACTAATCCATCTTCTTTTAGCCCTAGTAGCTCAAAACAAACATTCTGAAAAAAATAATCTGTCCTTAAGAGATAAGTCTTCATTCATCTTATCAAATACAGTGTATGGAAGGTTTCCTCCTTCTCTGAGACTATAGGGTAGATTCCAATCCAGTGTCCATATTTGGTGGATAATGTTTTCTGACTTTTGGAAACTATTGCACGATATTAGGATCACAGCAAAACGAGATAGCAAGATAGCTGAATGACAAACTGGATTCATTTTAAAATGATTTGACCTGTCTGTTCTTAAACCCTTCTAGTAGAATTTATCACTAAGTAGTCCATGATGGTCACCAGCATAGGTAATAGAGAGTTAAGTGGAAAAGCTAAAGAAAGCTTAGGACGATAGACCCATTGCTGTCCTGAGCAAGAAATACAATGAAGAATAAAGTAAAATGTACAGATTAGTTTACCCAATTTTTTTTGTTTTTTTCAATACTCAGTCTGTTACCAGAAAATTGTATCATAATTACTGAAATTTAGATGTCTACAAGAATAACTACATGTATTATTTTAATCTTTTTTTTTTTTTTTTAAATCAACACCGTAAAATCAACCAGATTGTCTGGAAAATGTTACCATGTTAATTACACTGTTTTTTGTTTTGTTTTTTTTGGCAAAAGGCAGAACTGTAGTGAATTGATATATATAAATAAAAGGCAAAATGAAGCCACATATTTTAAAAAATATTATATTATTAATTATTATTATCACAATGTGGTTGTTTTAGCCTAACTTGTTCAATTTGGATTTCTATCAGAGAATTAGCCTTTATAGCCTGCATTTAATATGATTGCATAAGCTTTTCAAATGAGTTAAGGTTTTTGGAGAAAATCTTAAAATTATTTAATATTATTAAAATGTTTTCATTTTGTGATAGACATTTTTTTAATATATTGATTTTTTTATAATTATGAATTTTTTGATATTTTTATATTTTGAATTTAAAAAAAGTTTATTACAAAAAATATTACATTGTTTGAAATGTTTATACAACAATATAAAACTATGCCTAAATACTTTTGTCCATATATTAATTGTATACCGTACTGGTGCATGAATATGCTGAGTACCTTTTTGCAGTTTGTTTATATATTTAATAAATAGTTGTATTAGATGTTTAATGTATCACTTGTTGTATTGGATATTAAATGTATACATATGTTTGTATGATGCACTAAACGTCCAATTATATTCTCATTTCTTTTAGGGATCTGTTGATGAGAGACAATTTGTTTGAAATCATTACTGGCCCAAGGACATTTTACATCCAGGTATCATACTCATTATATGTGATTATTCATAGTTCTGAGTTTGGTGCATACCACTGTATAGTCTATAGGATGTCCATATATTCATGCTGTTATCACTATATACATAACTTACAACTCAAATAACTTCATAGCATAATAAGTGATTCTAACCCCTCAATTAGGGCTGAAACTTGGGTCCCCATTCATGTTTGCAGTGGATCCTTATTAGTTATAACAGTAATACTATATTCACAAGGCTGTCCAGCGCAATGAAGACCCCTGTGAAGAGGTGTCTGGCAAAAATGATTTGAGTCTATTGTATAGTACACATGGAAGATATACTAAAATAATTTCTGCCTAGACTGCCACTTTAAGAACCAATGAATGGGACAAGCATACAGCTAGACTCTGCCCTCCGGAAGTGTTTTATAACAAACAAATAAAGGGGGGAAAAAAAACAAAAGTGAAGCCGAGTCCCTCTGGCCCAGCCATATGTCACCTCATTCTCTCACATGAGTGGTGTTGTGAGGATCAATTACCTTTAGAGTGAATGTGTAGAAACTTAGTTAAGTATAAAACCATGAATGATTTGCCCCTTACCCCATTTAAATGCTATGAACTAGCTCACTGTTTCTCTCCTATCCCTCACAAGATGGGTGACGGAGGAGGATATAATCTTTATTGCAGGATCCCATGCACTCACTACTGTTTTATGGCACCTATTTAAGGGTCTCTGTGAATGCAATATTAACAAAGCCATGTGGCCAGATTACCTTGCTGCTATGCGGTGACAAAGTCATACATATAAATGGCCGTCTTGTTGTAAGGATGTTTGTCTGTAAACTGTATTTGTTTTTTTTATATTTTATGTTTTTTGTTTGTTTATGGATTTCATTTGCACTTAGATTCCCATTACAATACCTTTAGTGAATAATGAACAAACATTTCTTATCAAAAAAGTATGAAATGGTGAGGAAATCCTAAAACATCTGAATGGCAGGAATTATTCCTCAATCACATTATAAAGATAAAAGCATGGGGACGGAAAGAAAAGAAAATTAGCTCGACAATTATATATTTTTTTTAGACGTTTTCGAATGTTTCCGAACATAACATTTTGTTCTCTACCAAACTTTTACACATTATTATAAGACGTGCAAACAATCTGAATCAGAATCTGATTCAGTTATGATGATTATGATTTGTTTTTTGTTTTTTTTGTGAGTGAACCAAATTTTCAGAATCAGTTTGTTTAATGATTGCAAGGAATTTAATTTGGATTAATTGCTAGAAACAGTTTTTTGCGCATGTCGATTGTTATTACATAGCAAAACAAATTATAGCAACACCAGGATTGAGTGAAGGCCAGTAAGACATGGCAACTCCTACGTGATATGTTGTTATAAAAGTGTTTAAGAAATAAATGTTTAGAACTGAATATCTAGAATTGACTCTGGTCTTGTGTTCCTATGAACAGGCTGACAGTCCGCAGGAGATGCACAGCTGGATAAAGGCAATTAATGCAGCGATTCAAACACTGAGGATGCGCTACAGGGTGTGTATGATATCTGTATAAAACACAGAACTCCAAAAATGTAATCTGTATTTACATAGTAAACCCATAATTCCCAACCACTATTAGGCGCAAACGGTTCTGAATATCTTAAATGCAAGGAAACACAATAAACAGGATGAAAAACACAAGTCGGCTGAAAGCAAAGGTATTGCATAACTTAAGTTTATGCAGCAGTTTTGGAGTATAGAACATGCATCTGCAATGTCACTGCACAATTCTCTGCCATTTAGGAGTTAAAGGGTTACTTCAACCAAAAAAGATGTTGTTATAAAACACTGGTTTTGGTTAGAGTAACACTTTCTGAGGTGGTCTTCCCGCCCCAAATGTAAATAGTAAATAATTAAAAGCTAACACTTCCCTCCGTTACATCGCCATGTGCAATTTCTGAGCTCAGTCCTACCCTCCTTGGCTGACATCACTCTTGCTCGCCGGACGATGAAGGGGGTCAGGGAGTTAGGACTGAGGGGAGAACAAGGAATTAACAAATGTGGTGTGCAGTGCCGCCATTGGCTGTCTGGTGATAGCATGCCGTACATGCTGTTATTAGAAGCCATGTAAGTTATGCAACAAAACTTACTATAGGAATATAGAAGTATGTGTATACATGTATTCTTATTCTAGTAATAACCTCGAAAACTGAGTGTAAATTCAGAGTCCACACTGCTTGCTTTCGGCAATTAAACAATATCTATTTAAGAGAGGATATAAACCAAAACAATACATATACAACTGATATACGTCAGTATATGCTGATACCAAACTATTCATTGATTGAATGGAAATCACTAAATTAACAGTGAAAAGGCATTGACACATGATACAGTGATAAACCATGTGTTCAAGCAGACGCAGAGAGGGAGAGAGGGTGTAGATGGAAAAGAGCAAAAATGGAAGGGAGATGCATTGAGTAGGGCTTATAACAGGATAGGGCCCCTCGTTCTGCTGGACACTGTTCCTCAGCCAATTATTGTTGTTATTATTATTATGTGTATTTATATAGTGCCAGCTTATTCTGCAGTGCTTTATGTTCCGATAGATGGATAGATAGATATATAATGGTTAATATTTTGCTGCTTTGTGATGGCCTCTCACACATTGCATGGAAATATATTTGTAACAATGTAGGTTTGTGATATATTTCACAAATGTCAAGTCCTTTTCGATGACTGAAATGTCTTGAAGGATTTTTCAATTCCCACTGGATGTGAAAAGGATAAGTCCTTCTGGGTGGAGGCTCCTTGTAAATATTGTTAAACTTATGAGTAATTACACCTTGTAATTGCCACATCATATTTTTCTTGTCCCTTTAAAATAAGGAACATCCCAGCATGTAGCATAACTAAACTGCATTACACAGTCTCCAGAGTTTCACATTTCAGCAGCTTCAGGGCAAATAGTGAGCGTATTATTCACTATCTGCCAAGCTTCGGATGAACTGAGAAAAACTCTGTGAGCCTTGGGGAAATGTTAGCCCAAACGCAGTTCACATATTTAACTCAATTATTAAACAATGCCACCACTCTACTATACGGTCACCAAATCGCGTGAGACCAACCAAAATCTGATTTTGTTTAATTTCTATTTGCTTTTGTATTACACAACCGTGTTACAGTGCTGCCGCCTACGCTTATTAAGAGTTGGTAAGTGTGCTGGGGTTTAGAAAAATATGCCTCTCTGTATTTTGCTTTTGAACTGAAAACACCAAGGCGAATTGGTAGTGTAAGACCCACCTAAGAGGTTTGTCTTTTCAGACTAGTTGAGCTTGCACTTTAATGGCCATTAAAGTGATACTAAAAATGCATGGATTTGGGATAGTGTGCAGACAACCTTTATTTTGGCTTCCACTATAGTCACCAGAACAACTTTGTCTTAATGAAGCAGTTTTGTATTGACTATAGTCACTAGAACCACTACAGCTTAATGTAGTGGCTCTGGTACATCCTGTCCCTGCAGGGTGAGCACTGTAAACACTGTTACTCGTAAGTGCTAGAAAATTGAGCAGTGAGACTGCAGGGGCATAATCTATATACTCGAACTGCTTCATTGAGCTAAAGTTGATTGGATGACATTCTTTGTAGCATTATACTCTTTTTGTTCAATTCTAATCCATTACAAAATCATATATTAATTCAAACACAAAGGGAAGACAACCCTTTGGATTTTGCACTAGAAATATGCTTAAAGGAACACCATAGTGTCAGGAACACAAACATATATTCCTGACACTATAATGGTATATAAGGTGTTTAAACTAACCTTTTATTCAGTGTTGGCCCTGCTGTGCCTGTGTGGCTGAAATAAGAATTAAAGGAGAATTCATAGTAAATTAAAAATATTATTCTAGAAAAGCAAAATTGGAAAAATTCTCCAAGTCAGCTATGTTTTTTATTTTTGGCTATATAGCAAATAACCTTCATATCACTTCGCAGTTATGCCTTTGACAGAAAGATACAGAGGTAAATAGGGCTGATAGAGTAAAAGGTAGAATATAGAGTAACCCTGAATTCGTTCAACTAAATATCAGAGAGCAAAGAATAAACATTGTATACAGTACGTAGCTGCCGACACTAGAGATGACCCTCCTACAAAAATGACATTTCATGGTAAAATCATTTTTTATCACTTCTCAAAATACATAATTATATTTTTCTGAACTATATTATTACACATTACAAGCTGGAAATATTCCTTGAGCTATTTCGACATCCTCCCTTTGCACTTGTACAAATAACATTTGGTGTTTT